TTTTTATTTTCATCTTTTTTTCCCTCAAGGACTATATGTAACAAAGCATAAGCAGTAAATTTTCTCACATTTAGGAAAATGTTATCTATTTCAATAGGATCAAACCCGCCCAACTGCTCCTTATAGTTTTTGTAAGCTTTTCCAGTAGAAAGAACCCCTCCTTTCTATCTTTCTTTCTTTCTTTCTTTCCTTCTTTTTACACTTTGACTACTCTTATCCTGCTGGGTTTTTATTCCACCAGGTATCTCAGTCTCTACAAGAGGAAGCTGGCTAGGCAGCTGAAGGGTAGGCTTTCCAAAAGCATGCAAGTGTGACCCAGGTTCAGCATTTCAAGTGGTAACAGGTCCTGTATAGTCAGTCTTCACATTCAGGACAGCCATACTGCCAGAATTATTCAATGTCCTTTTTAGAAAGGTGATAAATTCAGTAGGTCTGAAACACAACTCTTCCACACTTAGATAAATCTCAGCAAAGATCACAGTTCAGTATAAAAATGAGGTGAATTGGGGGTGCACAGAGTAACTAGGCAGGGCACACAAACACATGCAGCTACTTTTAAAGGAACTTAAAATCAGACCTGTAGTTTATGTGTATGTTTATTAAAACTAACATTATAATGCAGTGGGCTATGAAGTCTTTATAAACAAGGCTTTAAGACTGATTTTTAAAAAAAGTATTAACTGCAAAATCAAACCATTTCATATCTACTTGTATCTTTCTTAATAAATTAATGTAACCTTGCAGGCTTTATCAGTTCATCAGCAATAAAAATACTACGTCTTAGTTCTAGGAAGGAGCAAAGTGCAGCCTGTGCCTGCAGGAATCATTGCATCACCTACTGCTATTATGGCTACATCTACAAAACACCTGGAGTGCTCCGGAGCATGCTGACTCTCACCTGTCCTGGGGACACAGTTCCAACTTTCCATTTCCACATCTGTCGCATGTAGGCCAGGAGAAAGCAGTGCTCTCATTAACTCCAACAACAGTACCTGCAGAACATGGAATTCTTACAAAATGCTAACATTAAGCCAGCAAACACAGTCTCTCTTGGCTTCACAGCAGGTTTGAGTCTTTCTGACCCACAGCTTAGGACTTGTCAGAGCAAGAATCGGCTCTTTCAACAATCTCACTCCCTTTTTCCTTGGTCCCTCCAACAAGGGATGAAAGTACAGCACAGTATGTTACACTTTAAAAATACCAGAAGGTAGATAATTGACAATTAACTTTCCAAACTGGTTCAGTTCTTTTGGTTTGGATTTTATTGCTTTTCTGATTTGTTTTCGCTTGTTTGCTTTCTTTCTGGTCCTCTGATATTTCCTTGGCAATAAACAGCTAAAAAAATCATCTGATCGGATAGCTTGATATTGATATTTAGGAAACATAAACCAATGAGAAGCCCCAATCCCTTTTGAAAACAACAATACAGATTAAATGGAGTTATTATTCATTTATACTGATTTAAGAGAGATTAGACCTGGCCCACAGACTTAAGTGTGTGCCTAAGAAGGGAATGCCAAAGATACTTTGGACTAATAAAAAGGGCCTCACTAGTTTTGGCAAGAAAAAATATATTCAGGGTTTTATGAGAAGCCAATAAAGAGCGTATTATATTTTATGGTAACAATATGATGATATTATGAGAATTATTTATGGAGAAAAACACATCTGAGTATTCACCTGTAAGAACAAAATTACACTAAAATAAAACCTCACTAATACAACAGAACTACAGACTAAAAAATCCAGCTCCTATTGAGCAAGAATCTCACATTCTATACCACATTCAACAGAAGAAAGCCTTGGAGACTACGGAGCATTTACACCGTCTGGACTGTAAAGCAGGCTGTTAATCCCTTACTTTTCTGGTTCTCCTGGAGCAAGGAGGGAGCTACACCTAAACTACAAAACTGTAAGATTTTCTTTGTGAATTCAAAGGACAGGGAGTCTGAAGATATGGAAAGTTGCTTCTCAAATACAACATTTACGACCCAATTGCTAAGCATACATTGAAACTACATGCATTACAGTGACAGAATAAGCAATTCTATTTAACCCCTTGGACTCCTACAGAAATAATTTTGATTATTCAGTGTTTGTGATAAGCTTGGACTTTCCATCAGCACTTGCTACTACAAGGTAGGATGCTCTCTGCCACAGCACAGGCATGTTTCTCTTTGAATGATGTGAATGCTGAATAGAGTTAAATCCAGTTGGTGGCCAGTCACAAGTGGTGTTCCCCAGGGCTCAGTGTTGGGGCCAGTACTGTTTAATCTCTTTATCAATGATTTAGACAAGGGGATCAAGTGCACCTTCAGTCAGTTCCCAGACGACACCAAGTTGGGTGGGAGTGTTGATCTGCTGGAGGACAGGAAGGCTCTGCACAGGGATCTGGATCCATAGGCCAAGGCCAGTGGTATGAGGTTCAACAAGACAAAGTGTCAGGTCGTGCACTTGGGTCATAAAAGCCCCAATCAGTGCTACAGGCTGGGGGAAAAGCGGCTGGAAAACTGCCCAGTGGAAAAAGACTTTGTGGAGCTGGTCGACAGTGGATGAACATGAGCCAGCAGTGTGCCCAGGTGGCCAAGAAGGCCAATGGCATCCTGGCCTGTATCAGCAATAGTGTGGCCAGCAGGACCAGGGCAGTGATTGTCCCCCTGTACTGGGCAATGATGAGGATGCACCTTGAGTACCATGTTCAGTTTTGAGCCCCTCACTACAAGAGGGACATTGAGGTGCTGGAGCATGCCCAGAGAAGAGCAATGGAGCTGGTGAAGGGGAGATGGAGTTGTTTAGCCTGGAGAAAAGGAGGCTTAGGGGGACCTTCTTGCTCTCCACAACTATCTGAAAGGAGGCTGTTGCCAAGTAGGGGGTCAACCTCTTCTCCCAGGTAACAAGTGACCGGACGAGAGGAAACGGCCTCAAGTTGTGCCATGGGAGGTTTAGATTGGCTTTTAGGAAGAATTTCTTCACTGAAAGGGTGGTCAAGCATTGAAACAGCTGCCCAGGGAACTGATGGAGTTACCACCTCTGGAGGTATTTAAAAGACATGCAGATGTGACACTTGGGGGCATGGTTTAAGTGGTTTATTTGGCAGTGATGGGTTAATGGTTGGACTCAGTGACCTTAAAAATCCTTTTCAACATAAAAGATTCCATGATTCTATGATTCTTGTTTATCAAAAAGAAAAGCTATCAATTGGTTTGCTGAATATGTTACCTTTTTAATTAAAAAATCATTTTAAAAACAAAACAAATCCCCTTTTCTGACAGATGTGTTTCTCTCTAAGACTCTTCTTTCTCCCAGCTCTGTGCCATACTGCAACTGCAGGATGCCAATGCACAAGTAACGCAAGTACATTTGAAGGAAATTAATCAGGATCATACTGATGAGATTATGTACAGTGGTTTATTTTGATGACAATGTAGAGTTCCCTTGAGAAAACCACCAGACATCACTGAAGTCAGACCAACTCAAACCAGCAACAGGTATAATAATCTAGTGACAGTCTTGGGCACCCTGTATGCAAAGTGATTTCTCAAGTTTAAACTGCTGAATTATTGCACATCTTTGACAAGACTCTTGATTTTGCTTAACATTCACAAATCTTTTGAATATTTTCCCTTCTTTTCAATGGAAAAGCCAAAATTAGATTTTCACCTATTTGCTATTTTTAATGAGTTGTGGCTGACATCATTAAGAAGAGATTGACAATAGGACAACACCTGACAAAACAGGTCTCTTGTGTGGAATGCAAAGTAACAATCTGGTTGAAACATTCAAAAATCAATGTGTTTGGTTTTGTTTTTTTTTTCCCAATCAGTTGCCCAGAGTAATGGGACAGGAAGGGGAAAAGTTCAATCAAAAAGAAAAACCTAGGTAAGCTGATTGACCCCATTTTAGTCACACTATTAAGAGGAAAACTGAAAAAAAACCCACACCCCTGAATAAAGACTTCAATATGAAAACATTCAACGTCAAAATTCAATCACTGGTGGTGAGTCACATACTAGGCAAATATCATTAATCAAGTAATATTCCCACATATCATATGTGGTATGGACTAACTAGAATTTGCTCATAAGCATGATTAAGAGGAAAAACAATTTTGTGCAGTATGAACTGCCAACATTTAAGTCATCCTGACTGCTACTATACAGAAAAAAGAGGTTGGAAATTACATTCCAATGCACAGTGATAAGAAAATAAATATATTAACCCTGAGCTCACAGGTGAAAACCACAGATTTATCTTGCAAAGACGAATAAACTTTTTATTAGAAAACAACCACAGGTTTTCACTCATCTGTTGAAGAGCAACACATTCCATCCCACAGCTGGTATGACTGGACCTCCCTGAAACAAGAATTTCTGACAAACTTATTGGATCTGCAACATTGTCCATTTCGATGGGGGAGGAACCTCTGAAGTTCATCCAGACCAGAGTTGTACCAAGTTGCTCAGGGCCCAGCTGTAAGAAGGAGCTTGAACTGGAGGAACTTCATAAGTTCCTTTCAAAGAAGGGGTAGAGTAAAGCCTGTGCAGCTTTTTTAAGTGTTAGGTGGGAGGCTGCCTATGTACAGCACATGTAGATGACTGAAAGTACAGGAAGTAAAAGGATGCACAAAGAAAAAGAGTGAATGAAGTAAGACTGCTTCACGTTGAAAGCCAGACTAACAACTCTCTGAGTTAACAGACAGGGACAGTGACTGAATTTTAGAGATTATATATTTTCCTCCATGCATTACTCCATCAAATACATATTCTCCCACCAACAAAGTAGGGTCAATGCTATTAGTTTCACTACTTCGGCAGGAAAACATAGGCACTAACTAAATGAAATCCAAACCAGTGACTGTATCTCTTAAATGCTATTAAGTTATTTCAGTTACACATAAGAGTGAGAGTTATCGTCTATATATATCAGTAGCATAGGTATAAAGAAGATACTTTATATTCTATGTTGGTATCCAGGCGTGGGAACATAGTGATAACTGCACAAATTCCAGATTAAACAAGACAAGGTTGTAGGATTAATTTCTCCTTTTGTCATTCTTCCATCTGTAATACAGAACAGGTAAAGCATGACATCTCCCATGTATGTAAAGTAAGTACTTGTTTACACAACAGCTCACAAAGGTGTATTTTCTTTGCTCTACTGGAAAAAGAAAGGACAGAGAAATGTTTGCTTTATCTTACTATGCACACTGTCAACAAGAAAAGTCACTTCTCATACAAAAAACTAACAGCAGAATGTTGACAATTCCTAGCATAACTATTGGAGACATTAAAAAAAAGTCAAAAAGCATTTCATACCCAGTGACAGAAATATCTTTCAAGTAACTATATCAATGCAAGATGTACATAACAATCAAGGCTTTGAGTGAAGTGCCTCTAGTTTGATTGGTTTTCATTATGAGCTGTTAGAGTTCAACATTTGCACTGCAAGGGGCTCATTTATTAATCACAGAGGTATTGTGAACTTGTGGCTCTACCGTAGCAGAAGGTATGTTTAGTAAAGGCTTTGCATGGTTTCAAACTGTCTTCTTAGTGCATGACATTATAGCTGGAAGGATTAATTTGTAAACCATTATTTTTTACAATTTTAAAGTTCATTCATCCAGTGAATACTTAAAGGTGTAAATGTCAAACTGTATCAAGAATTTTCTATAAGGGCTCCTGGAATCATAAGAGTTAAATTAAGAAAGGAAATAGTCCTTAAAAGCCAAGAATTGTTGGGCTTTTAAGGACATTTTCCTATAGGCACTCTACAGCTGGGAGGCTTAAGAAGCTGTCTGGACAAAGCATTAGAAAACACACAGTAGGAAATGTTTCTGCATGATTAGGAAATGTTAGAAAATACATTGTAAGAAATATTTCTGCATGGTTTGTGGTAGAACTGAGATATTAGACAAAGCTATGATCCAAAGTGGCTGGTGAGCAAATATTGGCCAAGTTATGCTAGATTACTATGGCAAAACACTAAATTGTCCCACTGCAGCAAAGCTTCAGGGAAATCAGTCACTAACCCCTACCATTCAGGATCTGGGTAACATATCTTATCCATCTGCCTAAAAAATATTGGTATACCTCACTGTTGCTAACATCAACAAGGCTGATATGAACAGAAGGCTCCTGAAAGAAGACAGTGAAGGAAGGAATATAATGAAACAGATTGTACATTAAACATTTATTTTGGGGAATGAGTAAGTGGGAACAGAGCTTGGCCAGCAACAGGCAAACAAAGCCCACAAAGAAGTATAAAATCGTAAATATTCTAATGACCCACAGCAATGCTGTGCTTTTTTTATTCCTCCACGCTGTTTGTGCAAGAAATCAATATAAAGACATAAAAGATTAAAGTGAGCACAAATAATTAACCACATTCATTTCAGGAAAGGCCATACAAACCTCTTAGAGCACAAATGGAGTTGGCCTGTGTTGTAGAATCCAGCTCATCGAGTCTGACAGGGCCAGTCAGCTCACTGAGGTCAGCACTGGCAGCCGAGCACAAAAGAGGCTTTTGTAATAAGAGAACAGTACGTTCAACACAAATAATCCTACCTGCCAACAAAGACATTTCAACTCAGTACAGTAACAAGGAAAAAGGTGACCATGTTAATTGTCATGGCCAATAAAGACAACAATCTCTGCCAGCTACTGAACAGATGAATACACTCCATCAGGTTTTCTCAATGACAAAATATTTTCCTTTCAGTGATACATGCATCATGCTCTTGATACACTTCACAACTCCCAGGGAAAAAAAGAAGTTTTAAAAATTTGAACACGGCAGAAGAGAGTCTGATGCCACCCAGAATGCATTGAACCACGCTCCCTGAAAACAGGTTACCATCTCTTCCCTAGTAATAAGCTTGAGCACCCCTTGAGGTGGTCTTACTTTGTTTCCAAGATTACAAAGAGTAGGTGCATGCAGTGTTTTATTCTCTAAAGCAGAGATTTTTGCTTCAGGACACAGTCATTTGCACAGTTTTGTATTTTCAGTTTACATGATGGAAGTGACTGAAGGCGTGAGATGTGAACTACCCAAGCAGTCACCATACAGCACACAACTTGAACCTCATAAAAAGAGTAACTGAAGATGAAAGTAAAGTGAACCACCATAATTTCATGATCTGTGTGGTGGCAAAGGCTCACACCTAAGATGATATAGGAGAGCTTGTAAAATTTGTATATCTAGGGACACATGAGTTTCTTAATATTTTTGAGTCTTCTGTCAGCTAGCAAATTCAATTGACACTGGTTATCAGATTCAAATGTCATCAGGGAAGACTGACAGTAATATTAGTGGACATACAACAAGATTACTGAATTTCCCATTTACTTTGGAGATCAAGCCAAAAATATAAAAAAAGAAACCTTAGAGGAAAGCTCTAATTACAACCCCTTTCAAATTTCTCATGCCAAACTTGCAAAGTCTCATCTTCATCTGAGAACGAAAGTCTCTAGAGGTTGCATATTGTGGTGTCAGAGATAGGGATGCTATTTCTTTGTGACTCCAACTGCTTCAAAACCACAAGTAAAACTTACCATTTCCCCACAGTGCATCCTTGAAGAAGACAAGTCGCGAGGCAACACCGAGGGCTTCTGTGATTTCCGTACTGAGAGCACATGATGCAGTGACTGCCACAGCAACAACTTTTGGAGTCATATGAACCACATCTTGCAATGTGGAGTCAGTCACAAACAACAAAATCTCTCTTTGATTTATAGGAACACTGTGTTTTGTCTATCATTAAAAAAAAGATACAAAATTGGAATTCAATTGTTAATTTTTTTTTAATAGAAGGAAAGACTAAACATTCTTATATTTAAATAATTAATAAAACTGACAGAAATTATTACATTTAGGGCTTGCACAGGATAATGAGTCAAAGCTTTATTAGAATTTTTCATTATTCCTTACTGCAGATACAAACATCTCCACCTTAAATTAAGTTTCCGAGGTTGACACTCTGGAATCTTGGCTTTAACTCTGTCAACCATCACACTTTATCATAATTCACTTGGACTCTACATGGGATTTGAAAATATATTTTATAAAAAATATGTATTATTTATTTAGATAATATATATTATATATATATATAAAGCTAACCGGATGGTTTTACTAAGACTTACATAATTTTTGCCTTAAAAAAAAAAAGAAGGAAAGACAATTGCTACTACTAATATTATTCCTTAGTGAGCACATTTTCTAGGTCCTGTTATCAGATTCCCAGGAATTCCAGTCCTTGGTTAACAGCTACTGTCTAGTCCTTGGCTAATAGCTACTGCAAGTTACAAAGTTGGAGCTTTTTCTTTCAGTTGAACAAAGCTCTAAATATTTCAATGATGCATAAAGTTAAGGAAGTAGATAACTCATAAGTAAGAGACACAGGAATTTGCAATGACAATGTAAGTTTTCTGTCCAAGACAGGTATAAAAATATCATGGTATGACTGAATTAAGGTCCATCATAATCAATGAATAAACCCCCTACATTTCAGCTCAGTCCTTGTATCTGAAAATAATCAATACACCATCAGGAGTGTTTTTTAAATTTTTCACACTGGGATAATGAACAAGACAGACATTACATACACATCAGTGCTTATTCTTGAATCTCTAACAAAATCAGTTGGGTTACAATTTGATGATTTGTGCTTTTATTTTGTTTTGTTTGGTTGTTTGGTTTTTTTTACACAGCTTATAGTATCTATGTGTGTATGTGAATTTTCCCAAGCTTTAGAAAAATGGATATTTTGCATTTACCAATGCAAGCAATGTGTAAATTTTCAGATTCTAATAATTTAAAGTATTTGACTAAGATTAAATAACTTCCTTAATTTAAAATGTTTTTGTTGATCTTTCTAATTACTCTGCTGATCAAAAATTCACACTTAAAACATTTAACTGAAAATTGAATACTACAATGATTGGAGAGACACATACCATTTTAGTCTCGAAGTTGCATGTCTCTAGCATAAGGTAATGCAACGAGAACCCCAACTTTTTGTCTTTAGTTGAATTCGAATCTTGGCACCAGTAACCACACTAAACCCAGCTTTCTGTTCATGCTAGCAGCTCTTAAAGCAAATGTGGTAATTGTAAAGTGACTGGGAAAATTTACAACTCAGATATCACAGTTCTGCCTTAATGAAATATGTGCTGCCTAGTGCATTGATGCTGTTTCTTTGCCTACTGACTACATACATTTGAGTACCTTCTCTGCCTAGATAGCATTAGGACAGCTTCAAAGAAAGGATTTTTACATCTATCCCCTGAGAATTAATAACACATTAAAAGCTGTGTTTCAGAAGAATCATTCAAAAAGTAAATAATAATAACAGCAAAAATCACAAGTTAGTATAAAATCATCATCTTGCTATGTGTGACAATTTGTTCAGAACAGAGAGGACACAACAGACAAATAGCAGCAGGATTGAGTTATAAGGAAGGACAGCTCCTTAACCACAGATGGAATATATTTCCTCATATTCCTTCTGAACCACAGTACAGATTCTGAGTAATAATAAAAACATATTTCCATTCCCACTTTACACAAATTAAGTAGTATTAATTTAAGTAGTTAATACTGTAGCTGCAGAGACTAAATACTGTTTTTTAAAGTACATCTGAATTAGCTCACATAGCAGATTATTTAATAATTATAAATCTGCAAAATAAACCAAATCATAGTCCCTTCCTCACTTATTACAACTTGGTGATTTTTCATGTCAAAGGTATGTCCTCTTGGCAAAGGCAACTGCAGGAAACAAGCTGCTGTTCGTGATCTTCTTCTGGGAGGATTAGGCAAGTAATACATTACCTTTACATTCCTAGAGGAGTTATCCAGAAAGTTAAACATAAGAAGAATATCTTCTATTGCTTTTCCATCATTACTTTAAAAAAATTTATGAGCACTCATATTGTTCACTTATGTGCTTACAGTTTGACAAGTGAATAGTCATTAAAAAAACAGCTAATAAACCTCCAAGTAGAAAGAAAAAAATCATAGACTTTTTTATCTGTTAGTTAATATTCCATTCTTCAAAATCACATCTGTTCCTGCATGCTTCATCTTTTCTCTAATTCAGTGATGAAGAGCTTTTACAGAAGAATACTGATGACCCACATCAGCATCTCAGATGTAGACATTCCTGAATACAAAAATGTTTGGCTAGGATGCCCCTAGTCTGCAATTTGATTTTATTTTGCACTAGAACAGGTTTCTTGGAAATAGAAGTTAACACATGTATGTGTCTTTCTGTTAGAAGGCTAAAGATCCCACCAAGCTAGCCCTAATTTCATGTTTGCAAATGCTCTGTTACATTCTCGCTTAGCATGGAGAAAACACAAAAGATACTCCTCGTCTCTGGAGTTAAAAGTACTCCCTGCCTAAAAATTAAATCATAACTCATTGGCTTCTGAAGCAAAAGGGCAAGACCTAAATTAAATTTATGTCTCCACTGGTGGGAAGCATCTCCAGCTATTTTGCTGGCTGTTCTGGAATTTCTTTGTCTTTGGTTCATATGCTTTGATTCACACTTTGTTTCTTGTGGAGCTGATGGACAATTGCAAATTATTCTCCACCAGAATTCAGTGCTGGCTGTACTAAGGATCCAGTCACCAGGAAAAAATAAATAAATCAGCAACAAGAAATTCCTTTAACTACTAAGGGAGTTAGCAACATTTTGAAAGAAAATTGTAGCATCATTCAGAAACAAATTATATATAATCGTAAGCTTTCCGGCACAGTATGGATGGCAGATGTATTTACCTAAGGGTTCCTCCCTTTTACTACTTACTGGACCATAAAAGCCAAATTTGCCTGAGGGGCTTCTATGGAAGTCAATGAAAATCATCCACATACTTGCATGAAAAGAGCAAAACTGTATTTTTGTATAACCATCATCTGTTCCATTCTATGCCTCAACATTCAACTGACTGGGAGTATTGCATAGCCAAGATTTGCTACGTACCTAAGGACAGCATTTAGCGATAAATGGAGTCTCCACTGCAAGCTCCCTTCTCAGGGTGCAAGATTGCCTCTGGTAAGATAGCAATTTATTCAGGAGTAATTCACTTTCTAGATTGAGTGGCATTGAAACTGGAGATGCAATTCATTTCACCCATATTCACAAGCATTTTACACATGATGATAATTCTGCCCATACAACTCTTGAAGTTAATTCCAGAAGGCTTTGGGTTTTCTCCAAAACAAGATGAATGATGGGTTCTTCACATAAACAACATGCTGATTTTATGTTGAATTCATTACTAAGTGAAAAGATTACCTGCAGCCTTAGGTAGAGCACTCGCGCCCCAAAGCTACAACGCTTGTTACAACCATCGATCTGAAAATAGTACAAAAATAGGGAATGAGACAAACATGATACCAGAAATCCAGTGGTAAAAAGTACTTGTTATCTGATTTGTAAAGCAGATTACCCGAAGAATTTCCTTTAGACCATGAACAGCTGGTGGCTGGTACAAATTAGAAATCTGTTCTTCCTCATCCACTTCCACATGTACTTCACCAGACTGAATAGTAAGAATATAACAGAAGCTGGGAGGAGGAAGATTAGTTGTCACCTATTAAAAAGTAAAGAAAAGAAAAGTGACCTTAAAACAGGTACTTTAATTTGGCCAGTCAAGTTTTTCAATAATAGGCAAAATGAACAAAACAACTTATATTTTAAGAGGGATGGGGAAACAAAATTATATGGTTAATAACAAGGACTCTGATGTAGAAGTTAACTTAATAAACCAACGTTCATAAGTTATAAGTGAAATCAGCTTTTGTGCATCATTCTTTCCATAATCTGACGTTGATCCTCATCACAAAAACAACTCATGATTTGGCACACTTGGCAAACACAGTGACTCTTTCAAGGTGCTTTTTGTTGTTTTGCATTTTTTTACTGTATGGTAGGAGTGCCTTGACTATTTTTTTTTTAACGTCCATAACTTTTCTGAGATTTGGGGACTTTTGCATGTGGGTGGGTTTTTGTGATAATAAACAGCTGCCGAACTTTTAAAGCTGCCAAATTAAATCCAGGACAGCACAAGGAGATAATGAAGAACAGGAATGCAAGAGCTGCAAGAACTGCTCTCTTTGTGTTATGCCAGATTTTTCTTTCTCCCTTAAAAAGTACCATGACGTAACAACTTTATCAACCACCACTTAAAGAGGTCTCAAACTAGAAAGACTTGTCAGAAAAGACAATGCTAGAAGATAATTTTTATGGCAAAATACTCTTTTGGCAATGTTTGTTGTTAATAAAGCTCCTAATTTCATAGAAAAAAATATGAATCTACTAAAGACAACTGCCCACCCATTAAAAAGAATCTGCATAAAGAAAAAAGCAAAAGAAGCTGATACCCAAACTCTGTTTGCCTCTGTCACCAGTAAAGAAGGCATCTAAATGTATATATGGCTCAAAAGAAATCAGTTCCATAGAGCTCTTCCCAATAACATTATCATCATGCTGGCAATATTATTTATGTACCTGTATATAAAACTGCTTCCGTAAAACTGTGCATAAAGCTATAATGCTTGTATCAAGAAAAATGTATCTCAAGTGAAAGAAATCCACCCAGACAAAAACATGCAGCATTAGAATGCAATTTATGATTCTTTGTGGAATGAATTACCATTTCAAACCCATGACAGAAGTGTAAACTACATGATTATGGAAAGTTTCTTCCATTTTCAGATTGCTAATAAAATAGAAAAAATCAGTCATAACAACCCTAAACAACATTTAAGAGCTTTGCTCCAGCCATGGATATTCCCATTCTGTTGCCCACACTATTTTAATGCAGAAAAGCATCCATTTCTCTGAGACTTCTAAAACATGCAGATGAAAGGGAGAGTTAAGGAGAGTACAGCTATTTCACTCCGTTTCAGTTTTGATTTTATATGTAACTAAGGTCTGAGCTTTTTATTCTTCAGTATAACCCTCTGGGCAGTGTAAAGAACACTCCACATTGGAGATAAAAGATTCTCAGACTTTAGAAATAACCAGCAGTATCCATCTTTAATGTTCCCTGGTTTTGAAACTTGTTTATTTCCAGCTTTCTCCTTATTTTTTTTTTTTTAGAACCTGCATCTCACTTGACTCCCTTATGGTCTAAACCAAATTTTTAATACCACAAACTTCTTCCCCAAAGAACAGCCTATTCAAGAACAACAAGCACTTGGCTACCCAGAAGCTTCTCAAATGATCTCGTATTACCAAAATGACACTTGATATGACAGGACTCCTTTTCAAAGACAAAAGCTAATTAAAGGAAAATTACAGATGTGAATTGAGCTTTGCAAATACATAGTAACATACTTTAAATCCATTTTTATACCTCCCCACCCTCTAAAAACAAAGAAACATTATTTTAGTAATTACTTTTGTTTTCATCCTTCAACTGACCTCATATGAAACAAGTATCAGTCAAAGTTATCCTAATTAGAGGAAGACCTGCTTCCAGCAGTCAGTCTGTCTTCACAGAAGTTGAAAGTACTTTGGAAAAGTACTTTCAAACCTAAGGCTAAAAAGTGCTTCTAAAGAACAAGATAGTATCCCTGTATTTCTCAGCTGGCTCCATGCTATCTACTATCTCTTTCCTCCTGCAAGGAGGAGAGAGGAAGAATTTGTCTGGACATCTTACCATTCTAGCTCTAGAGGATTAATAAGGGGATACTTGCATCATTTTGGAAAGATGTTGCTGATCCAGAGGGCTTCAGGTTAGCCTGGGAGGTTGTCAGAATCAGTAAAACAAAACTTAGTAGGTAAACAGAGGGAAAGAATCTTGATTCCCAAAGTAAACATGATTATACCACCAACAAAAATACTAGTTGTGGGTGAAAAAATTCATACTCATAATAATAAAACTTACCATTTCGGCATCTTGACTTTGTCCGGGAACTTTTACAGGCACTACTGGAGGCCACAGACTGTCTATCAGACTAAAAAGTCCTAATGCCCTTCAAAGAGACCAGTAAAATCAGGTTTAAAATATTTTCCAGTGTTACACATTATATTAAAAAGTTTCATTAAGAAATGTAATTTAAACCATTGCATGATTATGAAAACAATTTAAAATCATATTTATTTTCTGGAAGCTGGTTTTGATTTGGTCTAATTAAATCTCCATCATTTCTGCTGCAGGGTGGAGAGGGAGGGAAGGGATGTATCACATTCAGTGACAAAAAAGTCATATTTAATCCCTTGCTACAAACAGCTTGCTACATGACAAAATTCAGGGGAACTGGGGTAAACACTGGCTTGGGAAGGACACAGATACCAGTACAACCTCTTTTAAAAAATAGCTTTCAACTATTTAACTATTAAAAAAAAGTTTTGCTTCTAAAATTTTCATTTCTTGTTTTTTGTTGCTAACAGCTGATTGCAACTGCTTTCAGGAAAGTCAGTTATTATCAGATATAGAGAAACAGGCAAGATTTTGTTATCTTAAGTACATGAGCAGAGGATGGTCTCCCTCCTACACAGTTGCCCATTTAGTTATTGTATTGTATTGTATTGTATTCTATTCTATTCTATTCCATTCTATTTATTTATTTATTTATTTATTTATTTATTTATTCTCCAAGTTCCACACTTTTGATTTAAAAACAAACATAAAATTAACAGCCCAGCATATTAAGGTAAGATGTGGCAGACTGTTTAGCAAACAAAGCTGTACTTTGCAGCAGTTCAGTGGCTGCCTTGTGAGTTGATGGAGCATCCTTGCTGGACGAGCAGTAACATCTGAGGGAGAGGCCAGGAAAACAGCTGAGGGAGGGGAAATAGCTACAGATAACCAACTTGAAGAGGCATGCATTTTTGAGTTAAAGCTCTGAGTTATCTTGTCCCAGTCCTCTCTTCTGTGCAGTTGAAGTACTGAGATCTGGATTTTAACCCCACACTGACCCTATGAACAAGTTGTCTTTTCCTCCAATAAAAAACCCCCACTATTTCTGATGCAGCTTTAAAAAATGAAGTCCAAACCTTGCTAGAAGTAGTATTATCTTCTAAACCCAACTGCTTAGAAGGAAACCACATACTCTGGTACAGGGCTGAAGCATGTTGCATTATGCTGCTTCTCTTCAAGGGGTCATGGAAACTTTCCTTTTAAAGTTCTGCTTTTAGCTCACTTCTGCTTAAGCTTACTTATTTCTGCATTTTCCTAGTCTTTCTCAAAATCCTTAAGTGCTTAGATTTTGGGTGTCTACAGACTGAACTTCTTACCACATTTTTTTCATCAAGTGCCAGGTATTGTCTGTGATTCAGTGTTAATAGTGATGCCTTTGGACCAGCACTACAAGAAATTTTACGGATGCAAATCTCAAAGTAGATCTTGTGGAATAAAACTTGTGGTTCACAATTCAGTAACAAACTGGCAGACTGAAAAGATGATGTTGCTACCTGTAGTTGCATTCTCCACACTAATGAACAGATCAGAAACACAAACATGTTGCTCTTTTACAGAAATGAACTTCCTGACTTATACAGCATCAACCCCAAGGCTGTAAAAGGAGAATGCTGAGCTCAAAGATTGGGGTGTTTATTTTTCGTTTTGTGTTTTGTTTTTAACAGTGAGAGCATTAAAACACACAAAGCAACATTTCTTAGGTATTAAAGAGATTTTACAGCAAACTGACCACTTCTTGAATCCTTGATCTGGGCAAGATTTTCTGTTTAGTATTGTACAGAACTGTGACCTCTCTACAGACACAAGAGGGGCCAATGCCCACAGAAACTAACTAGTCTTGCTAACTGGGAGATGAAAGAGAAGAGTTACTGAAAGAGAGCACAGCCTCTTTTACAACTCGGGCAGTTACTCAAGTGGCCTTCCACACATAACCTGCAGCACGAGGGCAGAGCACAGATAGGAACATACCACTGACTCTGTGTGTGTACAGAGATTGCACATTTATCAACTTAGAGCAACTAAGCCATGTTGTTGCATGTTCATGTCTTCAGACAGACCTTACGCTGATCTCTCACGTGTATTATTAAGTGTTCAAAGGGACATGAAGTTGTCTTTTCTTCTTTAGCTCTCTTCCAACTGTTATCCCACGTCAGTATATCTAAGATACATTTTCTCCTCCTCCTTGTGTCCTTTTGGAGAAGGCTATCTACTGCTTGAATTACAAGCACTTAATTATTAGTAAATGACAGTATTTGTTTACAAGCAGGCTGAGGGTCAATGCTGTGCGAGGAATGTCTCCAGAACATCTTGGCCCTGTTATTTCTTTGACAGCAGTCAGGCCAAGAGCAGAGACATTTGCCAACCAAAGGATTTGTAAGTTCCAAATCACATCCTGCTGGGATCCTTGTGTACCAGCTGGGATGTTCTCTCTGGAGCTGTCACTCCATCAGTTGGTGTCCCTGGTGAGGAGCTCCCCTCTTGCTCCACCCACTAATATGCCTTCAAAAAGGTAACTCTCTCTTTACACTTATGGACTTTTACCTAGCAGAGGGGGGAATGAGTGAGGGCACTGATAGTGAAGAAATAAAAAAGACATTGTGTCCTCTTCTGTAGAAAATCACTATCCTCACAGAAAGAATAAAATTCATTCTCTTTTTTTGGCCAAGCAACACTCAAACCCCATTTCAATCTGACTTGAACAATGGGTGTATTTTATCCAATATGTGTATCCTTCTGTGGCTATAGAGTCAGGACAAGAGATGAACAGCTGGCTCTGTGCTATAGTGAAGAGACATGGTTAGCTCCCATCTGCATAAAGAGCCTCCCCGGTGACAGAAGGCAAAATAAAAATGTTAAAATTTTGCTCTGTGAGTGTAATTACTAGTTACTGTCTTAAAAAAAAATCATTTTAATCATAGAAGACAGACTTCTAAGAAAGGAAAAGCAGAGTGAAAAATGAGAAGAAACAGGCTGAGGAATCAAAAAGAAAAAAGAACATGTAAAGTATTTAGAATAACTTTTTTTTTTTTTTTACTTCAGAGGCTAGAGCTCTATTGTAGTACTCTATAACTTTTCTTTAAAAAAAAAAGGAAAAAAAGACACAGGCTATACCAGAAGAAGACAAAAATCATCTATCAGATTCTAAATGACTCAGCTCTCTACTTTCCATGACAGACTTGAACCTGTGTTTGGTAAAAAAATTTTTGTCTCATCATAACATGTCTACTGTTTAACACCAACACAATAAGACCACTAGTAACTCCATAACTCCAGTGGAGTGTTACAGCATAGAATTCCACAGAAATATGGATTTATGACAGGCAGCTATGCCTCTCTTCTGTAAACCCACGTCTTCAAGGTTTGCTTATATATAATGGGATTTTTATATACGTGTGTGTGTCTATATAAATACAATATGCAAAAACGTTTTTTTAGTGTCCTTAAGTATATTTATTATCCAATGTCCTCAAAAAGCATCTCTCTCAAACTTTCCTTGCTAAACTTCAGTACATCTTTTCTCTGCATCCACAAATGCCAACTGCCTGCTGTGTACTCTGCTCTGACAGCAGTCAGAGAATTTTAAAGATTTAATACTGTTAGACAGGCTCAATATATGACTGAGAAAATGCAGAATATATATGCAACACTTGCAGAAATTAATCCTGACCTATTTAACAAATCACGTTAAACTACTCCATAGAAAAATCACTACAAGATAGGAGTGATACTAATAAAAGAGCATTTACTTTTCCTTCACCAGGATTCTCATCACAAATGATGACTGTGCTGCTCTGCAAAGAAGTTGCTTTAGTTTGCTCACCTAACCACCTTCCTTCTCAATTTCACAGCTCAATAGGAGACAGAAGTCACCTTCTGCTTCTAACCTTCCTGCCTTGTTTTGCCCTTCACTGCAGTCAAATGGCATAGATTGGTATGTGCATACATTCATACACCTATTTGTTCTATGATTTTTTTGGTAAAAACATACAAATAAAGAGCAAAGGTGTCGTAACTATAGACAGCCAGTAAACTGATAAACGAGTACTTAGGCTATCAGCACCTCTCTGATCCTGTGGAAATTCCATTCATTTATACTACAAGCTGTACTACAAAAATCAAACAAGACCAAATTTTAACTTTTCAAAACTGTATTTCACTGACTCTGACCTTTATAATTTAATAAGGAGATTTTGTTTATTTCTCTTACATGCGTGAGGTTTCAGCTACAGTTCTGGTCCAAGAACTTGGTGTGTGCCATACCTGATTCAGCTCTTAGCATACAGCTTATAGGCTGGGGTATTTTCTGACTTTAATAATCATAACACAGTCTCAGGGGAAAATTACAACAGGGAGAAAATATCAGCAATGTCAAAGAGAGTTAAAAGAAAAGAAGGCTCATAAGTAGGAAAAGAAGAAACACTATGTAAGGTTTACAGCAAGGAACAAGAAGATGCTAGGACTCTCTTCCAATATCTTCCACTGCTTTGCTCTGAGGACTCCAGACTTGGCACTTCTCTGCTTCCTCCTCTCCTACTTCTTACAATTTTAGTCTAAAACAAAACAGTTTTCTTTGGCAGTGTCAGTCTCAATTATTAAGAACTCAAAAATAAAGCAATTCCTAGCCCTTTGTGCAAAACTAAGAAGAAATTCCTAAATAATCACCTAGGCTGCATAAGCTTCAACTCTCAAGGGACAAGTAATCCAAACAAAAAGCTCATACTGTAGGCTACCTCTCCCTTTAACTGACCTACTAAGATCTTGTAGTGCACAAACTATGCAACACCACATTTTCTCAGACTTTAGTAATAAAAGAAACAAAGCCATAAAGTAAAAATCTGAGCCTACTAAACCAGCATCTCAGTCAAAATATGAATAGGGAGGAAGGGCTGCTGATCTATTTTTCCCAAAGTTTTGTTTAGATATATGAAATTATTTTGTTAAACAATTTACATACTTTAATAACTCAATTTTCTATAGTACATTAGAAATTACATGTACTACATTAAACCACTGAAATTATAACATAAAAATACTTTCAAATCAACATGGATATGCCTATGTTATTCTCCAGTGATGGTTACTAAACAGATTAAAGACAGAAGCACTGAAGATACAAGTAGAAGTCCATGCTTATAAAGAATAGAAAACTCAGGAGATAAAAAAGATAATTTCTGATACATAAGCAGTCACAGAAATTGATAAAAAAGTAATGCAAATATTCAAAACTCCAATATGATTACTGAAATTATGCTTTAAATGGAACTCAACTTTTAACCACAGCAATTACTGAAGTGTTTCAGTACCTCAAAACCTCAGAGACGTGAGTGGCTCTTTTAGAGCCAGTCGTTTTGGAGGAGGGAAAACTAAAGGAAGGAAGTTCTGACCTCCTTGCTCTGTGGAGAGTTCTTACTATCACATTTCCTGTCTATGTCTAGCAGTTGAAACACTTACTTGTGTATCAGTTAGCAGTGGTCCTCTCTTCTGAGGGCAAAGCAAAACGAAGAGAAAGTACACAGTGAAGAGTAAAGAAAAAAAAGGAGAGAAATAGAGGCCAGTGAAGCATGAAACTTAAATAAAAAGAAGAGGAAAAAAAAAGAATGAAAGCCCTCAGGCACAATAGTGACCACTACAGACATACAGAGAGATTTCACATTTCAGTGCCTAACATTTGAAAGTTTAAAATGACAAACAACAGAAACCAACTTTATTTGAAAATGCAGAAATGTTTCAGAAGAACTTAACACTGGTTGTTGAACTCTATTCAGAGTCTACTTACTTTAGAGGAAAATCCAAGATAGTACAGCCTGCTATGAATTAAATGTTGGCTCAAATGCCAAAGCTTATGAGTTGATGTATCCTTCTAAATATTTTAGCCTATCCAACTTAAGCGTGGATTTTAACACTATCAATGCAATAGTTGCCTCTTCTTTTGAAGCTTATTAAGCGTTTTTTTGAATTTAGGGACAAAATTTGTACCTGTGTTCTTCCTCCTCTCTCCCTTTATAAATGAGTGTCATCTATCCATTCCGCTGAAACTCTTCATATTTTTAACATATAAGAAAGCATAAAACGAAGAAGCAGGTACATGTGCTATACTCAGCTGTAAAACAACTCAATGCTTGGAAAATCAGGTGAAAAGACACACATTGTCAAAATCCAAATTATGTGTGGAACTCCAGTCAGGGATAAAAACATAAAATTAATAGTTTTTGTTGATAAAGATACATATCTAACTACAAAGTTTACCCTAGCTCATTGAAATTAATTTCTGGTAGGAAGCAGCAACTGTGACAATTTATAGGTTATTTACTCCTGAGGTATTTTAGTGAGTGCTCAGTCCCTGCACCTCGTTGCATCCATTTAGTTACTGGTTATACTGGACATACTTGAAACATGCCTGGGATCCATTAAAATCGGGGGGGGTTATATGTTAGCTGCACTGCATAAGGATTCAGAACCAACATTCCTGCCTCTAGCAGCACACTCTCTAAATTTCACTTCCTCTTTCTCAAAGGGCTGAATTTAAGAGTGACACACGAGGTAGTGGGAGGGCGAGAGCGAGAATACATGCCTCTAAGGAGCCAACACCACCAGCAGCAGATCAATGAACATTTTTCAGTCTTCTCCCTTTAAACCACTGTAACATTTTTATTCTTTTTTTGCTGATACTAAGCATGCAGTTCAGGGAATAGTTGCAGGAAAGGCTAGGAGACAAGTATGAATGGGAGGGTGAAGAGAAAAGGTGTCGGGAAACAGACACCGAACCACGTAAGTTAATTCAGCTGCTACAATACTGTTTCCTAACTTATCCAGCAGCCTCAAGAAGAGAGTAGAAGAACTACTGGAAACTGAACACTGAACAAGCTATGGCAACTCTGCCATGACTCAGCCATGTCCATCTGTCTTATAGGATTGCCAGAAACTGGGTTGCAAAAGGAAACACCACTTCCTTTACTGGACGGCAAAGGGAAGGATTTCTTGAAGGAATGGTTTGGGGTAGTATGTTTTCTGTGGGGTATGGGACTTTTTCTGAAAACCACCTAAATCAGTGAAAGACCTTCAAATGACCTAGTACGAGACCCTAGTACTTGTTAGAGCATATGAGTATTCAAAACCAATATTCAACACTAACAGTGTTTCTCTCAATGAAAGATCACTACGATTTTTTACAGGGTTGATCTTCATCAAGACAGGACATGGTTGTATAAGTTCTTATCCCACTTTTTTTTGGAACACAAATGTTTTCTTATTGGAGAAGAAATGGGTTTAGTCTTCAGCACGTCTTAACAGTAGAGGTCCATTCCAAAGATCGAATAATGCTTAGAGCCAGGTTTTTGCCTGAATGTAAAATACTTCTTATTACAGGTTTATAGGTTTTTAGCCCTTGAAATGCAACTTCAGCTTAACAACAGTGATTTTCAAATTACATTTACTGGAATGATGTTAAACATTAGATACTTGATGATGAGGATGGATGATGGCCTGGAAAATTTTCTGAACAATAGCAGTAGTCCATTGATGCAAAATGCTTGAAAACTTCTTGTATCTATTAGCAAATCTCCTCTGCCTCATGGAGGGATGGAGGAAGCACTCTGTCTCTGATTACAATCCATGTGACTGTGGGACAACATGCACATATGGGATCTTATTAGCCATTCCTGGCTTTCTCCAGATCATGTGCTTCAAAGGCACAAGGAAAAAAGTCATTACTTTTCCCTCGTATTTCCTACATTTTATTCCCTTTTGTCCATTTTAAAAGCCACTGTCAGACTCCAGGAAACAAACAGTTTAAAAGTCATCTCCTTCCAAAAAGTAATTGGTGTTCTCAAAAAAAAAAAAAAAAAAAAAGGCAGAGGAAAAAAAGTACTCCACTACATCTCAAAAAAAAAAAAAAAAAGAAGCAGCAGTCTTTCTTGCAGGGCAGACCACATAGTTCTTATTCACTCATATGCTGCAAGCCAAGGTTGGGCACTCACAGGCACATCCCATCATGTGTTTGGATATACCACTGGCTCTGGAAATCTATTTATCCAGTGGCAATGAGTTCTACAGCTTAATTATGCTCCCTGCGAATAAGTACTCCCTCATATTCATTTCAGCTATGGCTTTACTGTGGTTTCCATCACACCTAGAATGTGTCCCAAACACTTAAAAGTAATAAAAAGTTATAAAGCAGAACTTAGGCTAAAACAATTAAGAAAAAAATAAATCCCTGAACAATTCCCCCACCCACCCATCTTGTACAATGAAATCACGTTTTAACCACTGCACTGTCCCCGAAGCTACACTAGTCATTTTCTTTTAATGTTCCCTAGCAGGGTTACCACCAGCACAGCTCCAGCTGAGCCACCAGCATTTTCAGCAGTGTGTCTTCTAATCATCTTCAGAATAGCCAGAAGTAAGTTACTGCTGCTTTGAAACAGAATTTACATTAGAAAAAGTCTGTCTCTTATTAGCTAGGCAGAGTACTGGAAGCACCAGCAGCCAGTTGTAAAACTTCATTTGTATCCAGAATTCCAAAGCCATTATTTAATTTGTTTGGAAAAAATGTAACTCGGAAAAAAAGCCAATAAAATAATTAAATCAGAAGACGTGTTTGTTATTAAAGGTCCATAAAAATGCAAGTAGACTTGAAATCCAAAGGATCTGAAAATTAACACTGCAAGTACATAAAAAGAAAAGCATACTGAATAGGGCTGGCTGGAAAACAACAATTCCATTTTGCTAAACATTTCAAGGCTTTGAAATTTGTTTTTGTTCCAATATGAAACAAAAATGAGACTTTCTCAAAGTTTTCATGAAATGAGAATGAGAGAGAGAATATTCACTCCCTCTGGACCTGAAAAAATCTTCCCAACAAAGTTGTCTCCAAAATAGATAATGTTTCCATGAAACATTCTGGTTTTGATGAAACAGCATTTTTCAACAGGAAAAAAGTGTCAGCAGAAATACCATAGCCATTCTAATAGCAAAGGCTTATCTAGATCGGAGGCTTGCACGAATAAATTATGTCGAGAACTGAACCAATCTAATTATATTTATATAGGTCCCCATGAGAACACTGTATCACTTTCCCTAGAAAGATAATCTCTAAGATACTTTAACTATTTAATTTTTTTTTTCTGACTGAAGTTATTTTATTTTATTCAAAGAATGTAAAAGGAACCACAGAATAAGCAAAATCTGAGAGGCACCGTAAGTCAATTTGTTACTTACCTGAGGGGATTTTTCTATAAACCTGATGACATTCTTATTTCAAAATAGGATTTTATAATTTTTTTAAGAAACTTAAACTATAGTTCTAAAGCCATACAGACTTAAAAGAATTAAACTCTCATATAGTCAGAGAAAGCCTGTGCTTGAAACTTCAACCCATACTGGGCAGCACTGTAGAAAAGCTTACTGCAGTAAAAAGCTCTGCAATAGAAGGGAGGTGAACTAATGTTTTTAAGTCTCTGAATCTACTGAAGAGGAAGTAACCATTCATATTTTATTAAATATTGCATACAGCAATTCCTTTCTCTGCTAAGGGTGTATTTGTGCGTTAGCTTATTTATGCTATTTTGGAGTACAGTGGGGTCAAGTACAACTGGATGCCCCAAAAGTAGCAATAAGGACTTTTAATTGAACAAAGACAGGTTCAGTTGTTTCAAAGAATGTTGGTCACAGAAATAAATAAAAAGGCAGATCATCTCTGCCTGCCACATCAACCAATACGTTCTCCCATTAATTGTTCTCACCTTCCTCTTGTAGCTCTCTGTAAAATTTTCATTCCAGCTAAGCAGCAGAATTTTCCTTCCCATCTCCTGCAATACTGTTCAATGTCATCTGTGGAACTCAGGGACTGCAGCTGCACTTCACTGAACATGCCATAGGCATCCTGGACAAGGAGGCATAACCTGCAAAACATTCCTCTGTTACTCATTGGCTTGTCTTCATAACAAACCAGTGAGCAAATTTCTGAAAACTGTATTACAAACTTCAGGACAAGGCTTATGCTCTATGACATATAAACAAAACCAAGAGATTTTGTTTCGTTAAAGGTTTTCTCGTGTACATTTTCAGGAGATAAAAGAGCCATGAAATAGAGAAGCATGACTGAAACAAAGTGTATAAGGCTTGCACTGGGGATTAGATGAATTAACTGTTATGCGCTATGTAGTTTGTGCACTTATAAAGAAAGAAAGTTGAGGTTTTGCCTTAGTTAAGGTGAATTCTGCAATGCGGACAGTGCAATGACAGAAACGTACACGTGTGTACAAATATAAAAATTCTGCTTAGAAGTAAATAAAGCAACATATTTCACAAGTAATAATCACCAACACTGAAACTGGCAAAGCAAGCATTACATTTCCTATAACTTTTTTTTTTCAAGAAAGAGTTCTGAGGAGGCAAAAAAGAGTGAAACATCAATTTTTCTTTTTAAAAAAACCTAACATGTAACTGCAAATTGGTATATTCAGTATTGGGTATGAGGAAGCCCAGAGAAACTATTTTAAGAAGGTAATTAAAGAACCTGCTAAACAAACAATTTGATTAATCTATGGAAGATGGGGGCTGTAAGGCTGGGAAGTATTGCTTAAACAACTTGCTGGCATCTTGAGAAGATATTACTGTTGTAAGAGATAAGGCAAAGTCAGTGGATGTCATACATTTAGATAGTCAAAAACGCATTTCACAAGATTCTGCACCTGAGATGAGCAGCCATGATAGCATGAGTCATGCAGGGCTGGAGGAAGGAGGCTGCTGTCTACAAGATGGGTTTAATTGCCTCAGAAAGAGACAGTTAAGCATGGAAACTTTTCAAAGGGAGGCAAAAATTACCTTTGAGGGTAGCACATGCATCTTTATTTCTATATAAAACTCAGGGGTGCACTAGGGAGCAGAATTCAGTTCATTTCATGCCAAAACTACCTTCCCCAGAGCAGCACCATTGTTCACAGCAAGCCAACTCCAACTGCTTTTGGAGCACATCATGTAACATACACACATCCTGAAAGCATTCAACAGTAGTCATTATATCTTTATAAACTGCGTTTTAAATTAAATTAGTTCCTACATTGAAGAAATTCATGTATTTTCTTTGCCTGGAAAAGTAGGCATGTGGAAGACCATTAATCACACTTTCTTTGTTTGTTATGAACTGTCTAACTTTGGCTTACACCCTTAAGAAAGCTGTATTCAACATAAGCTACAACCCCAAAGGCTTTCAGACATCAGCAGTTATGCGAGCACCAGCTAAGAGTCCTCATTTTTCAGACTCTGTTGCTGGTTTTAAGGAACAGGGAGGGGTAGGACTGGACACAAACAAAGACTCCCGTGTTTTCCCCATATGTCTAGCTACGAGGGTCCCATACAAACAGAGTCATCACCAGAAAAAAAACCAAAACAAACGAAAAAAACTACATTTGCCTGCTATTTCCATGTCAGGACTTTGCAATCAGTTAAGAACTCCCCTGAGTTTTAACTGATTTGACTGAAACTCCTTGTGATGCTGTTTTGTTTGGAAAACCACAGCTCATATGCTCTGGACATTTCTGAAAATCAGATTGAGGGGAACCGGAAAAACAAAGCAAACAGTTTTGCCTATGTTAACAAAACATTGACTGTTAATTGTGAAAAATTAGGCCTCCATATCTTGGAGCAAGGAAGGGCCAACTGAGTTAGCGTCAGATCAGATCAGTTCAGCAGTCTCTTAACTGATCACTGGAATTTCTCATATCTTTAGTGAGACATAACTGAACACAAGTAAGTTCCAGACTAGCTGGCACCAGGGTCATATTAAATCCTCTGGGACATGTTAATTGCCCAAATAAAATTAGCTTGGTTGGTGCTGAAGACATCAGTCACTAAAAGTGCATTTTCCATGCCCTTTTAACTCAAGCAATGAGATGGCTTCTGTCAGACATAGGAGTCTCAACTCCCCACATCCCTGGCCACAGATTTCCATCCCTTTGTGGTGGCAGCATAAATGGCTGGGACAGGAAACTGATCCGACCAAAAAAATTCTGTAGCCAAATCATCATCATCATCATCTGAGTTCCTTGAAAATTAACTCTGCAGAAGTAAACTCCTGTTTGCATGGAGTACTACTTCTAGACAAGGATGTATTTTCCTCGAAGCTCTCACTCTGGCTGTCCAGACGCAGCACGACATCTCAGGTCGTATGATGGGAGAACGGTCATCTTATGACCAAGCTCAATGCACTGAAGAACTGTGTAATTTGAGGCTCCTATCACTAATGTTCCCATTCACACTAGAAAAACATTCATGATTATTGGCATCATGAAGCAACACAGGGCAGCAGAACCTATAGCATCAGATTCCAAGTACTTTTGTTCTGTCAGGTTTGTACACATGAGCAGACAGGCACTATACTACACTTGTTCTAACAGTATCCAAAAGATAGCCATGATTTCTCTGCAACATGCGTTTAAAATGAAATGCATATGTTCACTCCCTTGGAAGACAGAATTTCACAAATAACCTTCAGATGCCCAATTTCAGACTAAAAGAGGAATATCCCAAACCAACGCCATGAAGAGAACTTCACAAACACATGGTCCCTGCTTCACCATTCTTTTAAAACAGTATGAATGAATGATGACAAAACCTTGAAATGCCATAGGTATTTAATGACAGGTGACAATTGATTTTCCTACTTAATGACTATGATAAAACCAGTTGTATCCCACAACAGACTCAGTGATGCACTTGGAGAACTGCCCTCCTGTTCTTCGAAATTGGTTCTGTTCTTATGGATTTTGTACATGCTGTCAGCATCACTGACAGTAGTTCAGCTGCATGCAGAGGCTGTTGATTCATGACCTTAACTTCCTCACTAGCACTGGTTTTTTCCTTGATTTCACTTCATTCCCAGAAAAGTGCATGTGTATTATTTTCCCATGTTGCAGTGTTGCTCTCATATTACAGCAAATGTGCTTGCAAATTAATTTTTAGTAGAAAGTCTAACTGTGATTTAAGCAACAGCTTGTCCCATGATTTCTTCGCCCTTTGAAGCTCGCTACCAGGATAAAATCCCACATCTAAATTATGAGACAAGTTGCAAAGCCAAAATTAGTATCTGCCCCCCAGGAATTCAGCATTTATGTTTTGTACACATCTATCACAAACACTTTTTTTTTCATACAGTGTGGGTTTGTACTGAATCAGTTAATCAGGTTAAACATACCTTTACAAATGCCCTGTCAGTATGCATAGTAATGAACTGATAAAAAAAAAAAAGGCAACATCTCCAATTTAATCAGTGGTGCTTGTGTGTGGAGGAAATAATGGCCATCTTTATTTTTGGGACAACAGGATGCAACCCTGTGTAAGACCTCAGTTTAATATACGGTTTTGGAAATTGAAATTTCTCATGTAAAATAGCAGAATTCACTCCAGAAGAGTAAGGGGTAGCAGGAAAGCCAGTAGGGGAGCAAATGTGGGAGAGCAGACTAAGGAAAAGTTGAAGTATGATGCATTGGTAATAACAAAGGGGGTGAAGATAGGGAATGATAAGAACTGAGGCAGAGATTAGCTTTTTTTTTTTTTTTTTTGAGTAATGACACAGTAAGTCTCATGCAAAAGCTTGGGAAGATTTTGTTAATTTGTTAATAGCCAGGAGCAAGGATGGGGGCCGAGGGAAGACAAGACTGATTACTCTGCATTATTTCCATGACTGTGCTGATCTTTAGGACAAAATGTCTCACAGTAGAAATCTGGAGAAGTTTACAGGATTACTGCCATGCCCTTCTCCCAGTTAGTCACTCTTCATGGGTAAAGGGTAAACACTTCTTTTACTATTACTTTTTTATGGAAGAAAAATCATACCCCTCCATACTGCTGCCTTGTATGAGGCAGCTGACTTTCTGGAGAGGTAAGGGCAACAAAAACCTTCTTCACTTTTGGTTACCTCCAGTCTCCTCAGTAGCTAGTGGAAAAGACTAAGAAAAGGAAGATCTCCTCCTGCAGAGGAGATGAGAGTGCATGGAGGCCAGAATGGACTGATTACACAGGTACTGCCTTTACCGAGTCTTGTGAAAACAAGCAGCAGAAATTTGTCACAAACACATCTTAATCAACAAATAATTGTTTTACCCTTGGGTAGGAGGACAATTGTGTGGCCCACAGCGGCTCTTCTCCATGCACAGTTAGGCTGTGCAGTACAGCATGAGGAGCAAGATGGCCAGGCAAATACCGTCACCTCTGCAGAGCTCTGCAGCGACTTCATTAGTTGCTCTTTCTTTGGAAGGGAGAGAAAGAGGGGAATGGGAAAATGTCTGAAAACAAATTGACTTGTATTAGCTCTGATATTTGTTCATTCTTTATCTGAACCATCCATGAGACAGCTGCTGCTGCTTTGTTTGTCAGAAGGACTTCTTATCTCTGTGAGGTGCGGTCCTAGCAAAGGCATAAAGCACACGTACATAAACACACATAAACAAAAACCCCCTCTCCCTTCATCACCAGAGGCACAACACTACCTACACAACTCCAATTCAGCAACTTGTCTGGTCAAGTCTCAAGGTGGAGCTGATTAACTCCTGCTAATATGGCTCAGATTCAAATTGTAACCTGCAGGACACCACCCTACTGGGATTTAATTTCTCCCTACCCTATGAACTCCTTGCATTCACTATACTCATACTGCAACAGAAAAATTAAAGCTCAGGGCACAGGGACAACCATCCATCTTCCCTACCCCCTTGTAACACAAGCAGAATTTCTCTATTAAAAGAACAATATTCACCACATCATCCATTGCTTCATGCTCCCTTTTGACAAGTACGTAGCCTTCTTTAGGGAGACACAAGATTCAGGGGTTTCTGCTTAAAATCCACACTATTTGCTGTCACTAAATAGTGAGTGAAGCTCTACAGAATATAACTATGGATTG